CTGTGTACCTAGAAATGAGCACTATTGAAGTCATTGGTGATCACTTATGTGACAGCATACGTTTAACTTGGTATTTGATGAGATGGTCTTCAGCCACTTGAGATGCAGCCTTTTTAGCATCTAATTAAAAATGGAGCACTAATGATGTGATGATAGTGGGTTGCCCTCTCTACATGTGGAGCACGCAAGCTTATGGTATACAGAGTTCTGTCCTCCACCAGCTTGCCCCTATTTCTCACCTGCTGCTTCTTGCTAAATGAGGCACCTGCTTCACCTTTTCTCATGACAAGGCCAATCAGGAGTAATTCAGGGAACAGGGACCCCCAAATTTTGCACTGATGGGTCCAGGCCTGAACCTCATTAAAGAAATAAATATTCAGTATCTACATGACTTGAGAGTCCCCTCTTGAGAGACCCCTGGACTGCAAGGAGAACAAACCTATCAGTTCTAAAGGAAATCAAACCTGAGTGCTCACTGGAAGGACAGATCCTGAAGCTGAGGCTCCAATACTTTGGCCACCTCATGAGAAGAGAAGACTCCCTGGAAAAGACCCTTATGTTGGGAAAGTGTGAAGGCAAGACGAGAAGGGGACGACAGAGGATGAGATGGTTGGACAGTGTCATTGAAGCTACCAACATGAATTTGACCAAACTCTGGAAGGCAGTGGAAGACAGGAGGGCCTGGTGTGCTCTGTTCCATGGGGTCACGAAGAGTCAGACACGACTAAACAACTAAACGACAACATGACTTACTTTCCTCCCCACCAACTTCCTATGTGCTAAACTGTCAGATGTAGTTTTAGAAGAGGTACTGTACCCATGTTTCTGTGTTAGCATATCAGATACAAACAAAAGAAAAATAAAAAAATAAACGACAATATGACTTACTTTCCTCCCCACCGACTTCCTATATGCTAAACTGTCATAAGATGTAGTTTTAGAAGAGGTACCCATGTTTCTGTGTTAGCATATCAAATACAAACAAAAGAAAAATAAAAAAATAAAAGTCAGACACGACTAAACAACTAAACGACAACATGACTTACTTTCCTCCCCACCAACTTCCTATGTGCTAAACTGTCAGATGTAGTTTTAGAAGAGGTACTGTACCCATGTTTCTGTGTTAGCATATCAGATACAAACAAAAGAAAAATAAAAAAATAAAGAAAAAAAAACACTGTGGCACCTTCAAGACTGTTATATGTCTGAAGAAGTGGACTTGACCATGAAAGTTCGCATTCAAATAGAGCATCTGATTAGAGATGGCTAGATAGCTCTGTGAGTTAGAGGTTGGTAATTCAACTCGCCACAGTGTGAGTAGAGCCAACCTATGTGGCCTTGGGCAGGCTGCGCAGTCCCAGGGCGCCACCTAGAGGAATGGAAGGGTCAACCACTTCTGAATACTGTCTGTCTGGAAAGAGTTGCCATAAGTTGAATTTGAACTGATGGCATGTAATTAAAATACAGAAGTTAGAATTGAACGTGCAACAATGTTTTTTGACTTTGTTATTTATTAATTTTGTTTTGGTTTGATATGTAATTAGGTGGTGGCTCTAGCGACCATATGTGATGGCCAATTGTAGGGCACCCGTGTTGTCTCCCCCATAAAAATGAATGGTAAAGACTGCTTTTTCTTTTCGGCTATCTTTCTTTTAATAGAGATACTCTTCACTGATGCTAGCTGAAACCCTGTTAGTAATGTAAGTCAAAGTATAACTTTATGTCTGTTCCTTCTTAATAAACTAAGTGTGGCTGCTCTGATTCTTTGGGGCATGCACACACTCTGGCTTGATGTGTGCAAGCACATGTCCCAAAGATAGCAGCGGGGATCCTTGCTTTCCCAGGGAGGAGCAGACAGAAAGTTATGTTTTGGCTTACACTACGAATAGGATTTCAGCCACTAAGTAGTTAAGAGGTGCTTGCATATTTCAAGTGAGGATGGGGAGAGACTGATTGGTGACCTGAATTCCCTTTCTTTAGTGGGCGGTGTAGTTTTATCCCTAATGCTTTACTTTAAACCAGAGGACCCTTCCTACCCAGCCCCAGGGAATAAACAACAGGAGCATTTGAAAGCCTTGTTATCACCTCATTTCCTCATTCACTTGCTCAGCAATGAGAGCCAGTGGATGTCTCTGGATATCATTGCTCCTGCTCTAAAAAAAAAAAGTCCCATAGTTGTATTCTCTTGTTTTTCCTCTGTCTTCCCACCACCACTTCTCCAGTGGAGATCAGCAACCACCCACTCACTCTGTTAAATTTCTGGTTTTTAAAAAACTCCTCCATCCAACTCATGAATAGAGCAGGGAGGGTAGTATAAGGAGGTGAGGGGGAGGACCTTTGTGTGCTCTAATAAAACACATTTTCGGTGAAACATTACTGGCCTTGTCTAACCGACTGTACTCTGCCTCTTAAACAGGTTATACAAAGGGGCTTCTGAGTACTTTTAAACTAGATTTTGTTTAGGGGAAATGTCAAGATAAGTACATTTCTACAACAGGGCATGGCTTTTAAAATCATTCCTGTGGTCTAATAAAGGTGGTTGCTATAAATGGCAGGGAGCCGTCTCTCTGGGAAGACATGAAAAATGTGTGTTTCTATTTCACATTTCAGAAACTTTTTGAAGAATGTATCAGAAAGAGCTGGCAAGGTCAGCAGCTGCTGATAACTATTGAAGCCCTTGCTCAGCTGGCTTGACTTTGGGGAGAGAAAAAAGTTGAAATATTTTTGTAAATAAAAGCTCTGTGAGTTGGATGTGATTGGAGACTGTGTCTTTATTCAGTGTCTGCATGTTTTATGGGAGCTGTTCACCGGTAGCAAGATTTCCCCAAACATAGAAAAATACAATTACGTAGTAGGCGAAAAAGAAAAAAGATATCTGTAGAGCACTGAAAAGCTCTAAAATAAAGTCCCCTAGATACAGAAAATGCTGAACCTGATGATGTCCCTCAAAAATAGCCCAAAACTGAGTATTTTACTTTAAAATTGTATTTACTGGTAGCAAGGTTTCCCCAAACATAGAAAAATACAATTATGTAGTAGACGAACAAGAACAAGATATCTGTATAGCACTGAAAAGCTCTAAAATAAAGTCCCCTAGATACAGAAAATGCTGAACCTGATGATGTCCCTCAAAAATAGCCCAAAACTGAGTATTTTACTTTAAAATTGTATTTATTTGGTTTATATACTGCTTATCTCACCGATGACCACTCTGGGTGATTTGTAACATAAAATAATAAGGCCATTATTTGAAGGTGTTTGTTACTTCTTCGTCCTACCTTTCGTCAGAAGAGTTCACAAAACAACAATTGTGCGAGGTAGATAAGAAGGAAAGAGCATGAGTGGCCCAACATTATCCAGGGAGCTTCATGGCTCAGCCGGGAATAGAAACCTACTCCATCACGCTAGCCGCTCCACACACACTGGCTTGAACAGTAACTGTCTCTGTGCTGAGCTGTTTCCTACACAGGGATGAAGGAAAAGTACTACTTACTTTCTTCCCAATATGCACAGCTCCAGATGCTTAATGGCACAGCTCACCTGGCACCAGAAGTTGTGTTAAGACTCAAATGTAATAATGATGCGTCCAAAGTTTCCCCCTTATTGTGCACCTCCTTTGAGTCACAAGTGAAGTGGTCTTCCCTGGTGTCTTGGGGTGGCTAATGCATGTACTTAGTAAGGAGTGACTTCTGCATGTAGTTTTCATCCTACACAGGGATAAAAGTACTACTTACTTTCTTCCCAATATGCACAGCTCCAGATGGTTAATGGCACAGCTTACCTGGAGATAGGGCACCAGAAGTTGTGTTAAGACTCAAATGTAATAATGATGCGTCCAAAGTTTCCCCCTTATTGTGCACCTCCTTTGAGTCACAAGTGAAGTGGTCTTCCCTGGTGTCTTGGGGTGGCTAATGCATGTACTTAGTAAGGAGTGACTTCTGCATGTAGTTTTCATCTTTCTATGTTAATGGCACAGCTTACCTGGAGATAGGGCACCAGAAGTTGTGTTAAGACTCAAATGTAATAATGATGCGTCCAAAGTTTCCCCCTTATTGTGCACCTCCTTTGAGTCACAAGTGAAGTGGTCTTCCCTGGTGTCTTGGGGTGGCTAATGCATGTACTTAGTAAGGAGTGACTTCTGCATGTAGTTTTCATCTTTCTATGAAGGAGGAAGTGCCAAAAAGCCCCTTTGACTCTCTTTGTGCTGAAAGCTAGTCCGTCCCTACTGTTAGCCGGAGGGAGGCACTAGCCTCAGGTGCAAGGTACAAGGATATGGGAGCAAGGTATTGAAGGAGAGAGAGCCGTGTGCCCTGCTGCAGCCTGCCTTGTGTGCCCTAAGCCCAGCCTGCAGCCTTCGGGTGCAGAAGAGAATGCTGTCACTGGCACTGAAGGAATGTCAAATGGCCAGCTCTGTTGCTGTGGGCCCTAAGCCCAGCCTGCAGCCTTATGAAGGAATGTCAAATGGCCAGCTCTGTTGGCTTTTCTGCACCGAATGGGAGACGCCATTTTGTTTTTTCCCCTTTGATAGGAAAGTGGCACTGGAAGAAGAGGCAGTCTGGTTCTCCTGCATGTGATGGCTTTAGACCATGAGCATCCATCTCCATCCATATCCCGTAGGGTTCAATGTGTGGGTGTTTGTGTGGGTGTTGCCCTTGTGTGACTTCAGTACACCAAAAACCCATGGCCAAGAGCAGGGGATTGGGGGGAAAAAGCAGGCAAGGGTTTGCACTTCCGCCCATCATACACATTGGAGCAAGGCAGGAAGTAGAGAGCCATGTCCTTCTTCCTACCACAAGCTTGCCCAGCAGCAATTCCAGCCAAACTCCTGCTCTTTATCTGTCCTTCCCTTGAGACATCATCAGAGTCTCCTCCTGGACATCACAAGGGCCAAGCCCTGATTTCATCTCAGGGAATGAAATCTCAGACTGCTCAGGCTTTTCCATGCTTTGACAACACTTCTCTCACTATTTCTTCCATCCCCTTTGACTCTTATTTCATAGGCCCTGTTTGGAAGTCGCCATGGCACTGTGTGTCTGAAGACAGAATTTGGAAACTCATCTTTTGCACCGATTTGGCTAAAAAAACATTTCACTCCTACCAACGACTTCCATTTTTTTGAACCTTGCCATGGCTAAGAGTGCGGAGGTCAAGCTAGCCATCTTTGGCCGAGCTGGAGTTGGAAAGTCAGGTATGTCTTCTTTCTGTGTTCACAGCCCCTTGTGTTGCATTATGTGTTCACATTTTGAGATTTATTTTTTTTTGCAGTTGGTGACTGATCCCATGCAGGTGAGTAGCCCAAATAGACACGATGGGCACCCCACAAATCTCTCAAGGCTGGTATATGAGTTCTTGCTGGTTTGTTGATGATCAGACCACAGGACCTAAGACTATAGAGGAGTCTTCTGCAGGATACTTACAGCTGTTGGTTTCTGTAAAGATGTACTGGAGCTCAAGCTGTTTTCTGACCTGCACATCTCACCCTCCTTGATGAGGGTGGGTTTGCTAGAACCAAGCTATATGAACAGTTGTTCTGAGAATGTATCACTTTGGAGGGCAAAGAGATGGTCTTCCAATAACAACGTTAAAGGTGTTGGGGAGAAGGCGAGTTTAGAATACTTCCTCTTGACTCATATGTTTTCTATGTGCAGAGGTGTGTACAAAATGTCATTGTCATTTTTTATGGGGTTGGGGGGGGAGAATATGGCAGAGCATGCAATCTCCCACCTGTAGCTTGGAGTAGTTCCTTGCAGACAGGGGCACCGCAGTGGCTAGTATGGGCTAGCTCTGTGTTCCAGAGTGATGTTGTGAAAGTCAGGATGTTAAGTGGGTTGACATGCAAGTGTATCAGGTTTAGGGTAGAGTGAGGCTGCCCCAAGGAATCTGTGACCCATTAGCAAAGAAGATGATGGGAGAGAACCTGCCCAGATTTGGCCAGCCATGTGCATGCTTGTCCTCTGTATGAAAGCTCAGACTGTTCACATGGTGGGCCAACATGTCATGGGAATACTTATATCCTTTAAATAGTGGTGGAATAAGATGCCCTGTACAATCCCTTTGGACTTAATTGTGTCTGTGTCAAAAGCCTAGTTGAGCCTAAAATTAGCTTCTCCGTTGAGGCTCATGGCTTTGATGTCAGTGGGACACCAGATCTGCTGTAGGCTTTAGTCTAGACTTAATAAGAGCTCTCCTCAAAACTGGTTCAGCATCTTGGATAGCTCCTTTAAATTATAGGCTAAAACCTGGAGCAGAGTCACTGCCCCACTGACCCTGGACCTGACTACCTCCACTCCTTCCACCACACATCTGGCACTCTGCTGATTTTGACATTACAGCACATCTTTTGAACACATCTGCGTCTCCAGGATTATTCTTATTGATCTTTCACTGTAGATCTGGAATTTTTCCACTCTTCATTTTCTTCTATTCCAGTATCAGTTTGCTTTTTTTTTTTAAGTCATTATAAAGATGTCCATGTGTTTTTGTATACCTTTCTCCTAATACACCTAGTTTTGTATGCAATTTCTCCTAGCATTATTCTTTTCTGCAAACAGTTTCCCCAGATATAATGCACTCTTTTGTACATTGTTTCCACTATTGTACACCTTTTGGTACACCATGTACACATTTCTTTCAATGGAGAACTATGTTCAGAGGTGGGTGAAAATGGAAGGACACATGCTTTTTATAGCACCTGTTTCTTCCAGAACTGTGAATGAGATAGACAGAGATTAAAATACAACCTAAATGGATTCCTCCCCCATCTGTACTTCCTTCATACCACAAGGTAGAGAGCTCGAAAAAGCTAGCTTGCTATAACTTCCAAAATCCATCCTCATCAACATGACCAGTGGCCATACTTGCTGGGGGAATTCTGGGAGTTGTAGTCCAGAGCTTAATTTCCAAACTGTAATCAGAAGGCTACAAATTCTGCTGTCCTATAGAACTCGTATATCCCAAACCTACAGGGAGGCACCAGGCCTCTGCTGTCCTATATAGCAAAAGGAGTTCCTTTAGAACTGGCATATCCCAAACCTACAGGGAGGCACCAGGCTGAATGGCTCCCTATCTAGTAGCTCATTAAGGTTTCAATAAATGTCCGAAGATTGCCAATATGGACAAAGAGAGGCGGGTCTCAAGGTTGGCTCCATGCATCTTGATGCGGGCCTTATGTGGAATAAAAATTCAGACCAATATACCAGAGCACAGCAGCTTCAAGCAAGTGCTGTCAAGGGATCTTGTATTATCTTTTGAATTTTACCAGCATTAGACATAAATGAAACATTGCATTAGAAGAGGTCGACATGACTTCTTGGAATGGAGCAGCTTTGTAGAAAATTACTGCATTTAGAGCATGATCGTTCTGGACCTGGGGCAGTGTGGAGAAAAGACTCGCCAGCCCTGCTGTGAGAAGATTATCTCCCTTTATGCGGTTGATTTTAAAAACATTACTCTGAATTAGTCATTGTTTAAAAGCTGTTTAAATCCAATGACAACAGGAATTGTACTAAACCCAAGCGCACCAAGGGGTAGGTTGGAAGGCCATGCGATTCTTATTAAGCAAACATAATAACAGGACACTGACTGATTCTCAATACTGTTTAGTCTTTATATAGCACATAATCATTTCTTTTTGGCTGTACTGGCTAGATCTGATGGGAGTTGTAGCATCAAAATTACTTGTTTTGATGTTGTACTTTCTGAGTAAAAGGTGGGCCATAATTTTTTGGGAACCTCATTGGCACCCCCCATGCTGCCTTTGTGTTATTTATTATTTATTTTATTTATTTAAAATATTAACCTCATTGCCACCCCCCAAGCTGCCTTTGTGTTATTTATTTAAAATATTGTTACCCTGCCTATCTCCTTAAAAAGACCCAACGTGGCAACATGTTCCCTCCACATTCCTGTTGGCTGCCACTGTCGACAAACTGCGTTGCTCAAAATCCACGGTGCCACCTTGGTTCCAACTTGATGGCACAAAATACACACACTCACACCATTCCTGGGAAATATATCTTCCCTTCTGCAAGAGCCTCATACATTGACTGGAACCCTCCTGCCTCGTAAAGAGTTCTGCGGCTGCACCGGAAATTGGTAAAGCAACAATGGCAAAACCAGTGGCTGTCATGGAGTTTCACAAATGGCAGTGGGGAGGTGGCTTCAGTGGCTCCCAGCAAATCCTGGTAGGGATTTCCCAGAATCCTTAGCCAGGGGCATCAGTGATGCAAAACGTTGAGAGTTATGACCAGAAGCAGGAAAAGTTGGTGGTTTTTTTGGACCTCAACTCTCAGAAACCCAGCACCATCATGCTAATTCTCAGATTCTGTGAATTGTGCTCTGTAAGGTCACCTTTCCTCTCTCTAGTTGCTGACTAGCAACATCTGTAGCTTCACCAGCTCTGTTTAAGCAGCTACACTATCCTGGCTCTCAGTTAATCATTAAAGTCAGATCTAAATCATGAATTTCCTCAATCACACAATAAGCCACTGTGTTGCATGTTTTCTTTCCCTACTCTCCCTTTTTCCTCCCCTGTTCTTTATCTAGGGAGATAATTTTTCAAAAATGCATCTTTAAAGTAGCCTGGTGCTTGTTTTCAGAGTAGCAAATATCTTTATCAGGAGCAAGTCTTTGGAGCAGCTCAGGCTTGATGGATGCACTCAGCGTTTAGTTCTAGGAGTGCTCTGATGGATGAGTTTCTCCTTCTCAAGATCTACAAGGCCTTGTGCCATCAAAGAAGGAGTGCTGTTTAGTGCAACGCTGCCAGAAGAAGAGGCCATCTAGCATGATGACTTATGTGGCAGTGGTTTGTGCTGCCTGCAAACCTTCTCTTGACTCACCAATACTGGCCAGACAGCTGGGACTCCATGCCAAGCAAAAGAAACCAAAACACTGGCCAGGATCCCAGGGGAGGAGGCAGTGGTTTGATCCACGATCAAGAGCCAAAAGGCAAGCAGCAATAAATAAAGCAACTGCCATTGCCAAAAGTTCGTGACAGTTTTATCACAAGCTTTGTTCTTCCGCTCATCTTTTGCCCAATCAGAAGCCAGACACTAATCATAAGCTAGCGTGCGTGTATCTGTTTGGAAGAGGTCCAAGTATTGAACCAAAGCAGGCTCCTTCACAGGTCTTTGGACCTTCTCTGCAAGAACTCTTCCCTTTAATGACCAGAAACAAAGCAGGCTAGTCTTGGAAGCTGCAAAACTATTTTTGGAGGTTTTGCAGAATGCTGTAACAACAAAGTGCCTTCAGAGATTGTCCCTTTCTTCTAGTGTCTGTGCCACTGAAAATGGCAAGTGACGAGGAGACCCCACCCCATATGCAAGGATTCTGCTGCCTTAAGGGCAGTAGTCATAAAAGTTGCATGTTGGGTTACAATACCTGGAAGTCTCCAGCCACCGTGCCTAGTGTAGATTTGATGGCCCAAGTCCTAATCATCCAAGACGTATAAGGGCCAACTGAGCTGACAGTAGCCGCCAAACACCTCCTTGCTTATAGGTGTTGGAAATTAGCCCAAGCTGTCCTTTCTCTGGCCTACCTGTGTGCCACCATTGTGGCTGTGTCCCTAGGCTAGAAGATCTGGGACTGCTTGGCTTTTTTCCATCCCTTTCCAGGTCTCCTGCTGACAGATTTTAGCCAGCTGAGCAATTTGGCTGCGAGACTGCTCTGCGGAGACAGCATCTGGCTCAGTGGTTCAACCTTTGGTGACCTGGGTGGACTTGGATTGCAGCTCCCAGAAGCCTTTGCAACTAGCTATACTGGCCAGGATTTCTGGGAGTTGCGGTCCAAAAACACCTGCGTTACCATGGTTGGGTACCACTGATCTGGCAAAAGAGGGTTTTGTGAATAGCTGAGCATTTCTACCACTGTAGAGGCTTGTGCGGGGACGTGGTGGCGCTGTGGGCTAAACCGCAGAAGCCTGTGCTCTGAATAGCTGAGCATTTCTGTCACTGTAGAGGCTTGTGCAAAATCCTAACCACCTGTAATCCCAAGCATCTTTGAGCTAGATTTGTCCTCCAAGTAACTTCCATTTTCCCACCCTTTTATGACAGTCCCCATCAGCAGCTGCCAGAGGAAGCCACCACATGGTTTGCCCGATTGCAAGGTCCTCCAAATGTTTGGTTTCCATTTTCAGCATCTTGATGAAAGGCTAGAGCAGGAAACTAAAATCTGCACAACCGTAAAGCCTGG